ATTCTTCTATTTTAAGCGCCGCAGGCAAAAATTTTGAAAAATTTGGAAGGCCAAGGTGTCAGAGTTCCTCCCTTTTAAGCGCCGAAGGCAATATTTTTTTATTTTGGAAGGCAAAGGGTATTTAGGTCTAAACGTTCAAGTCTATACGATTAAATGCGTTACGTTCAAAATGTGGACGATTAAGAACTGAGATTGAGGGATTAAGTGGTCCCTCCGCACTTAATTCCCCCCCTTTTCTGTTAACCTTATTTCACAGACTTCTAGTCAATTTATAAAGTCGGGATTTGCATCAGGATCTGATGCTCATCCCGATCCCGATCTCGGATCCCGGCTCGGGATTGAGATTGGTCGGGATCGTGATATATATTTCTGGCTCTGGATAAGAAAAATCGGGATCGGGATTCGAAAAACCCGGGATAATCCCGCCCGATCCCGACCAGGATCCCGATCCCGCTGAACTCTAGTAAAAATTGGAAATTTAATAATTGAAATTGATTATTAAATTTTCAATTTTTAAAAATAAATTCAGTTTCAAAGACCAAAAGAAGAAAAATTAAAAAAGAAAATTTTAAATGCGTTTCACGTGTTTTTGTTCTCTGATTTCCTTGTGTGAATTTACTCTTCAATTTTACGCATGTTAATAGCTGAGACATTTATTTTCCCATAACGTTCAGCTTCAACAAGGTATGAATAACGATATAAACTTGGGATATCTATAACTTTTGCCTTAACCCAATCGCCTCCATTGTACACCTCAACATCATCGTTAACATAAAAAACTTTAGTTATATTTAATTCGCTTGGAAATTTGTCAAAGTTTTTTCCAAAAAGCGGTTGCTGTATGATTTGAATTTCGTATTTTCCATGGTCTTTTATCTGTATGACTTTTGACAGAAGAACTTCGTCCTGTCCAGTCTCTCTGTGCGTGTTCTTTAATCCAACAAAATCACCTACTTCTAAAGCCTTTCGCACATAATAAGTACCTCCTTTTACTTTACTTCCATTCAGGTTATCCTCACTTTTGATTACTGCAGTAAACTTTTCTTTATTTATTTCTCTTAATTTTCCAAGATGATAAACACCTTCAATGTTAACCTCAACAATTTCACCAACATTATATTCTTCTCTGTGTGTAAAATTTAAATTAAAATTGTTTTATTTTATAAATTGTGAGATTCTTAAAATTATGTAAGACATTTTCATTGATACATAGACAAATTTTTACTTACCTAAATTTTCAATTTTAGGAATTTTTCTAAACTTTTTTTTTCTAAACCAGAGTTGCAAAAAATGTTAAATTTCAGCAACGAAGGAGGAAATTTTATTAATTCCAATCCTTGGGACAAGAAATATTCTCCTTTAGCAGGGAGAGTGATTGGGATAATATATGGGAGAATGGGTGAATTTCTCTTTAGACTAAAATACCGAGATCGAGACTCTCAAACACCAAGAAAATAACCCCAAACTATTGAAGTCAAAGTCTTCCACATATTTAGTAGTTAATGCAAACCCTCGGTATAAGCGACTTTCATCACCCAAAACGATTTCTTTCTTTTTCTTCGAACTGGAGCTTCCAGAACCATGTTTTCTTTTGGCTTAATTTTTATTTATTATTGCTTTTATAAAACTTGTGTTTATGAGTTAAAGGGTTTGTAATCTTTACCGAATATATAAATCTTTTTGAAAAAAATCTCTCATGCCGGCTTTGTGAAAATCGGGGCCTAAAGCCGACCAGCTCTATTAAACGATATATTCCCAATAGTCCAAATATCGGTCGGTTAATAAGGGGGACTATACATAACAAGAGTTAAACTCTAATTACTAACATTCTTCAGGATTCATTCCATTAGCCAAATCAAACAGAATTAATTCAAAATAAATAATTAAAGTTAATGAAAACAAATTCATTTTTTTTTTCTTAACTTCTAAAATTAAAGTTATTTTATATGTCTTAACTAAAAATTTCGTTTATGTTTTGAATAATTGTTTGTTTTATTAAAATTAAATGTTAAATATTTAAAACTATTTCTAAAAATTATTAAAATTCGTTTGAAAAAATTAGAAAGAGAAATGTATTAAAAGTATCGCTTCATTTTTAACACCCTCATTTTTCTTTTTTGATAAACAAACTTTTTTCTCAACCCTACATATCCCTGTTGTTAATTAATGTAATTGTAAGCAATGTATTATTCTAGAAATACCTATCCACCCCTAACGTTTTTAAAATTTTGTAAAAAATATAAATGAATGGATAATACTACAAAATGACTGGCTTAAATGTTAACGGAATTTACAGATGGATGCGCAACAAATCATACAATATAAATAAGCCCGCCCACAAATTATTGAACAAATGAGTCTCAAAATAAAAATCAAGTTTACTCTAAAATATTTATTTGTTAAAATAAAGAAATTAATTGTTTAGTTAATTCAATTATTGTTTAAACTATTGTTTTGTATTATCAAAAAACTCTTCTTATAACAATTTTTAATTTAATTTATTGGAACTCTAATGTTCTTTGATAGATAAAAGCTTACGTGTATAAACTTACAAGATATGTATGTGTTTACAAGCTATCCCCATGCTCTAACCTTATTAAATTTTTAAAATTATATGAACTAATGTTGGCAATTAATGATTTTGAAAGATTCTCTCTCCTCATTAACTTTAATTAACAGAGAGAGAAAAGAATTTAAAAAAAGACACATTAATTTTTAAGCGTAAATAATAATTAAAAGACGTGACTATGGTTGTAATATTTTATATTATTGTAAAATTTTTAAAGTTTTAAAGAAAATTCCGGTACATTAGAAATTAAAATAAGATGACATTGAAGTTCGGTCTTCACCAATTCAATTGAGCTCCTTAGGTGTGTTTGTTTCCTTTAGATGTGTTTGTTTCCCCCGACCCCGACTTGGGGTTTGCGTCGGGGATAGGGGTTTATCGGGGTAGAATTTTCACCCCAATCATAATTAACCCCAATCATAATTAATCCATTTATCACTCAAGTTATATTCAATGGGGACAGAACGGGATAAACTGAAATAAAGTATACCCATAGAAATATGGGTGGACCAAGACTTCATCCCAAGACCAAAATCAAGACCAAAACCGAAAAAAACCCAAGAAAAGTCTTGAATCAAAACTCAAGACCAAGAGTCTCGGACAGCTCTAACACTTATCCTATCCCCTCTTTTTTTAATACCGCGCCCATATTTTCTGCGCCGAACAAATGTTATTTACATAACATTATTCAAATAAAAGATATTGTCATTTGTATTAAGATATTATAAATTATTTCACTAAATAAAAATATAATTAGAGGGAGAGGAAACAGGTTAATTAATTACTTTCAAGTTAAAACTATAATTGTCGAGGCTGATTTCACACCACTTGTATCATTAAATAATTAATTTGTATAAATTCTATTAAATTAACATTACATTTTTACCCAGATTTATACGGAAAAATGTTTGAAAATTAGAAATAAATTAATATAAAAATTAGGTAAAATAATAATTGTTTGTGAAAAGTAGAAAAGCAACAAAGTCATCGGATTGGATTATTTGATTGGATGGGAGCACAGTCGGTTGTGCTTAGGTTTGGACTCAATCCATTATGTTTCTATTCAATCTCCCACCCAATGAATTCTTCGACAGCATGAACATGTTACTAACTTGAAATTAGTTGCTTTTCTGTAGTAAAAGAAAATAAAAACAAATTTTGACAGAATTTAAATATAAAGAATGTGCACAACAAAAAAATTTTACAAAACTCAAAACTAATTTTTAGATAAACTTTTAGGCATTATTTCTCTTTAAATGCCCGGCCTCCTTCGTTTGTTTGTATGCCCGATGGCCTATGGGAGTTCCAAAATGTTTCCCCGTCTTTTCCAAACCACTAAAAATCAGAAAAGTATTTGATGAAAATAAAAAATATTTGGCGCTCTAAAAAATAATTTTTTTTAAATACTCATCAAGTTTTGAGAATTGTAAACAAAAAAATTGTGCACATTCTTGTTTTAAATAAAGAAAAGATTTGTTTGAAAAAATTTTGTTTTGTTTGAACACAAAATTAATTAAAAAGAAATTTTGTTGATTTTATAAAAATATTAGAGAGAAAATATGGTTATTTTCCGTTATGACGACAAAAGAAATTCTTTGCAGAATTATAGAGAGTGCCTAGAATTTTGAAATATATTTTCCACAATTATTCATAAAATTATCAAAATTTGTGTGCTCGAAAAGTAAGAATCTCTCCACAGTTAACTTGATTTCAAAATAATTTTTGTGTTCAAACAAAATTTACATAAAATACTTCCTTTAAAATATTTCAGTTTTTCAATCAATTTTTGGAATGATTTGGAGGAAATATTTTAAGTATAAATTGGAAATTTAATAATTGAATATACATTTAGGTGCAAAATTATGAAAACACCCCAAGAAGTTTCAATGATTCTTTATCAGCATAAAAAATAATTTTTATTTTGTGCTTATTCAAAAGCCCTTTAAACAGTCGTGTTTTTTAATAAAAAGGGTCCTTCTTAAAGGGTGTAAAGTACCGCAAACGCTGTTTAACCTTCTTTTAAAAGGACATTTCGAATTATCGGTTATTTATCTTGAAAGTCAAATTTTTCTAAAGTGTGAAAATTTGTTTGTTTATGACAACTTTCAAAAGCTTTCGAATAAGCACGTAATAAACAGTTTAAACAATCCTTTTCGACAATATTTTTTAAATTTAAACCCTGTTTTAGGATCACTTACCGGGATCCCAACACTGAAATGAAATATAGGCTCAGACCCTTTTTATCTTTACTTAGCCAATGTTTGTTCCAACTTTTGTAGATTTTTCCTATTGTTATTTTAAAAATGTGTTTTCATACTTTTGCACTGTATTTTTAAATTTTCAATTTAAAAAATAAATTTTTAAAAATAATTTTAGTTTTAAAGACCAAAAGGAAAGTTTAAATGGGGTTTTTCTCGTTTTTTGGTTTGATTTACTAGTGCTGTATGTGACTTCCCTCTTCAATTTTACTCATGTTGATGGCATATATGTCTGCTCGTTCTCCATAAAGTCCAGATTGTTCTGTAAATTCGACAAGATATGTCTCTCGGTTTCTATCAGGGACTTCTATAACTTTTGCCTTAACCCAAACTCCATTGTATTCTACTTCAACCTCTTCGTCAACAGCAAAAACTTTAGTTATAGTTAATTCTTTTGGGAATCTGTCAAAGTTTTTCCCAAAAAGTGGTCGCTGTATGACTTGAATTTCGTATTTTCCATTTTCCAACACCTTTTTGACTTTTGACAGAAGAACTTCGTCCTCTCCAGTCCCTCTGTGCGTGTTCTTTAACCCAACTAATTCACCCACTTCCAAAGCCTTTCGCACATAATAAGTACCTCCTTTTACTTTTCTTCCGTTCAGGTCACGATCTCCTCTGATTATTGCAGTAAACTTTTTATCATTTATTTTGATTAATTCTGCAAGATAATATTTATCTCTAATTTTAACCTCAACCATATCGCCAACATTATATTCTTCTCTGTGTGTAAAATTAAATTTTGATTTGAATATTAATTAAAATTGTTTTAATTTGTAAAAAAGGATTGCGAGTTTTTAATATAATGTAAGAAATTTTCTTTGTTACACAGGGCAATTTGTTTAATTTTTACTTTTTTTGCGTTTTTGGCGCTAAAATATATTTTTCAATTTTGTGAAAATTCTTAGAAGTAAGGCGCTATGGTGACAGTTAAATTTCAGTATTGGATTTGAGCATTTCAGAGCTGTTAAATTTCAGCTCTTACGCCTCCCATCTTTTGCTCATTTATTTTGTTTCAGTCATTCTTATCTCAGCATTTTATAAATTCGGAATTTGCATAGGGATCAGAGCGCGGCGAAAATAAAAAAATGGCAAGTTACGAGAAGAAAATATATTAAAAAGAAACGAAAGACTAATTTAATGCAAACCCTGGGTAAAAGCGACTTTCACCACCCAAAATAATGCATTCTTCTTCCAAATGTTCGTCTTCTTTCTTTTTCTTCGAACTGGAGCTTCCAGAACCTCGTTTTCTTCCGGCTTAATTTATATTTAATATACCTTTAGAAAACTTTAGTTAATGAATTAAAGGGGTTGTAATTTTCACCGGATATATAAATCTTTTTAAAAATAAATCTCTCATACCTGTTTTGTGATTATCGGGGACAAAGCCGACCCAACTATAGCTAGGTAATTAGGAAAACATTAAACGATATATTCCCAGTTCTGTTATAATCCAAAGATCGGTCGGTTAATAAGGGGGACTATACATAACAAGAGTTAAACTTTAATTACTAACATCTTTCAGGATTCATTCCATTAGCCAAATCAAGCAGAATTAATTCAAAAGAAAAAATTAAAGTTAATAAAAACAAATTCATTTTTTCTTAACTTTTAAAATTTAAATTATTTTTTTATGTCTTAATTTATTAAAATTAAATATTTATAATTAAAAATTATTATAAAAATTCTTAAATGAAAAAAATTAAAAGCAATAGTAAATAATTTTTAAATGAATAGGGAAAATCTTTTTAATGTGCCGCGAATTCTATATAAAAATTCACAAGATTGGGCAATATGTATAGAGAGAGGGAAAGAAGATACAAATTTAAAATAGATCAGTCATCCTCTACTTCGTACCCGGTACGAAACACGAGCAAAGCTGTTCGAAATTTCGATTTTTGAATTTTATTAAAATTTAATTACAGGGCCCCAAAATAAAACCTGTATTTAACTAAAACTCAAAACCGAAAAACGGGTTTTTAAAATCTGGATTAACCAAAAACTGGGGGTACCGGTTAATAACAGCTAGTGAACAACAATTATTTCATGTAATTTTTTTAGTTTTGGCTGGCAAAATTGGAGTGCTATTTTTTGTATAAACGAAAGCCCTTTATCGGTCTGGTTAAAAAACCGTAATATACCATTCAATGTAGACCTAATTTCGTCAATTATTTTCTATAGGTTATATGTAAACCTTTGTACGTATGCTCAATAATATGGATATGGTTCTGGATAATCGCAAATCTTCCAAGAATCCCCACCTTCCCATATATTAAAGATTAAGCTTTATTATTATATATACAAAAAAATTCAACAAAAACAAAAATACATTTAATAAACATTTCTCAAATTCACCCATTTTTGTATTAAATGTGGAAGACAAACATTATTAATAGCATTTCCGTCTAAACTTGGTGTATAATCATTAACAAGCAAATAAGGAACTTCAACAATTGGATTCGGTTTAGAAGTCATTGTACGTTGAGCAGCTTGTCTTTGGAGCTTGAACAAAAATTTAAAAATAAGGACAATAAATAATACCTGTTGCCCTCTTTCCCCAACATAACATTGCCTTAAAAATTATCAAATAATTGCTTATTTAAAAAAATTTTTTGGTACTTTATTTGTCGATATCTTTCCCGAATAAAACTAGAACAAGTATGCATTGCTTGCTCTACAGGTGAATCGGCTGACAAGGATCGCTCAAAACATATGGTGAATTGCACTGACTGCGAAACTGAAACTTCACTAATTACACAAGAAAGTAAACGGTTTGCATCACATTCCTTAGGGCCGTGATTACAACTAAAATAAATTTATTAGAAGTAAAAGGGATAAACACTTGAACTATAAACATTCATAAATTAATGGCGAAATGCAAGGAAAATTAAAAAATTTTTAAATTAAAATATAATGGACCTACGATATTTTTCCATTTCTTAGCAAAAGACTATTTCCCCAAGGAACCTGAAAATAATTAAAAAAATAATTTTTAAAAATTCCTCATAACCCCCTCACCAATTCCAAAATTGTTTGGTTTCCAAATTTATAAAGTAAAGAGCCAAGATTATTAGCTATATATCTTTGGCAGTAAGGACATAAAGCTTCGAACATTAAAGTTATTGTTAGGGGCCGACTTGAAGTAGATCGTTTGAAGTTTTCACATTGCTTTATAAGAAGAGGGTTATAATTAATTATTCTCATGTAAATTTTAATTAAAATTATCAAATTTATTTATTAAAAATGAAAACAAAAGGGGCTAGAAGATCAGAAAGAGTTTAGCTAAAGATTAGCCACCAGACAGGATTCGAACCTATGACAACGTTGACACTGATCGCTCGGCCTTAATCACACACATACAGGTGTTCTACCACTGATCTACCGGCGCATCGCTAGCCCTTTTATCCTTTTAGATCGGTTAATCCTAAGCGTTTTAAATGTTCTAGGGGAATCATCCTTACAAATCTCTCTTAAACAACAAGTCCATTGAGTAAGGGAGAAGTAAAAGCCCAGGCAGGCGTTTTTCTGCAACTTTCAGACTAATTAAAAATAAAAAGGCAGTAAAAGACTTGTCATTTTTTAAATAAAATTCTAATTTTAAATTATTTTTTACTTGAACAACATTACACCTCTGTGCTATTTCATAATTATCACACCTTAAATATATTTCAAATTCTTTTATTAATTTAAGGAAATCACCAAAAATCGGGCGGCAAATTACATTGTTGTTGATAATTACGTTCATGTAAATGTTGGGGCTGTTGGGCGTTGTAGACTCTTTGAATTGTGTAGGGCTTAATAAAATTAAAAAGTATTTACTGCTAGGTATTGGCTTAGTATAAAAGCTTTTCTATTATTCAGTCGTAGTCTTAGTCCTATTCAAGTGTATTCTATTGTTATTCTATTCTGTCTCCGCGAAGCTTTAAATTTTGCTATTGTATTCATTCTTGCAGGTAAAACGCAGTTTGTTAATTACTCTGTTATTCTTTGTTAGTACGTATACATAGAAGTCTCGTACATAACTTTTATTTCAATTACTGTTTTTTAAATTATAATTTACTTAAATTTATCCAGGAATTCGAAAATGCTCGCCTACAGCGCTAAACTTAAATTTTGATGTTTTTTTGTATGACGAGAGCAACAAAACGAGTTAAAACAATGGAGAATTTATAAAAAGAGAAAGCAATGCTCCTCTATCCATTGACTAATTTTTTTGGTCAGTTTTCTATTTAAACTTTTATTTAAAAAACAAATTTACATCAGAATAAGCAACTGTTTTTGATATAAAAACAAAAAACAATTCAAACGGCATCCAAAAAATAATTGAAAATTTATTTGACAGAATTTTATTCATTTTTATTGTTGAAATTGTATTTAGGAAGGTAAATAATTATTTAATTTTTTAATTAAAGAGAAATTTAAAAGTTTTTGCAAAATGAACAACAACTGGTAAAAGTAAATTGAATTAAGTAAAGAACCAACACAAAACACCTTTAAAAGAAAACATTTGTTTTTAAAGAATTAAATGTTTTTTTCAAATGTTTTTGGGGGAGAGGACTTATTTATAAACACATGTCTTTTATTATTTATTTATTTTTATTCTTTTTTTAATAGACTCGAACCGTTTTTAATTAATTTATTGGTTATATACATAATTATTTTAATCGAAATATAGAGAATATTGTAAATTTTTTAAAAAGGAGCAAAGAAGTAAAAATGATTTTTATTAAAATTTTATATTAAATATTTAAAGAAAATGAAAATACAATCAAAAGACCCGGTCTCGGTTAAACAGAAACCGGGGATCAGCCAAAAATCGGAACCAAAAACCGAGGGTTGGAAACCGGCGATAACCTAAAACCCATGGTACCCCAGTCAACCAACCTAATTTTTAACAAAAAAAAAAGAATCAAAAATTTTATTTTTAAAATTTAAAAAAAAATTAAAAATCAAAACAATTTTTAATAAATATTCTCAACTTTTCCCTTTCTATTTAAAAATTATTAAAAAGTAGGCGGCTTTTTATTTGCAACTTGATATCTAAAAAATTTTAAAAAGTTTAGCGGTCAACTTTTTGATGTTTTTAGCGTTTAAAAGAGAAAATGCCGCCTAAACAAAAATTTCTTTAAATAAATTTAAGCGGAGCAGTTCAACTGAGTCCGCACGATTGAGTCCCCACGATTGAGTCCCGGCACAATTGAGTCCCCACGATTGAGTCCGCACGATTGAGTCCCCCTTGTATATACCTCAATTGAGTCCCCGTGGATTTAATAAGTTTAAAATTTCCATATCCGGCATGCGGGATTATTCCAAAATTTCTATTTTTTAAAGTATAAATGCCGGGCACACCACCTGAGCACCCCGCTGCACCCCAAATACCCTGCGTAGCAGCACAAAAAAAGTTTTCCATCGAAGATTCAGTTGGTCATAACTTTGTTCATAATCATCCAATCGAGCTGATTTTGGTGTCATTCAACTCAGCCCGTCGAGCCCTTTCGAATGAGCTATCATTTGTATATTTGAATTTTTCACCCCAAAAATTCCCCCATGGATTTGACCATTTCGAGCCCATATCTTGGCGAGAACCATGTCGATTTTGGTGTCATGCGACTCAGCTCATTCGAATGAGCTGTCATTCAAAAAATCTTTCGATATCCCTCCTAATCCCCAAATCCACAATATCCACCCATATCCCCCTTAATCGCTTAAATCTACTTATATCTCTTAATATTCACCGATATCCAACTTGATCCCTCGATGTCACATACAGGTCCCCTGATGTTCACTTTAATCCCCCCAAATCCCCAGATATCCCTCTTAATCCTTTTTAATATAATTAAATCTACGGGGACTCAATTGAGGTATATACAAGGGGGACTCAATCGTGCGGACTCAATCGTGGGGACTCAATCGTGCGGACTCAATCGTGGGGACTCAATCGTGCGGACTCAATTGAGGCGTACCGAATTTAAGAGGGTTATTAAAATTTTAAAAAATTTTTCAGGAACTTTCTTTTCCTCTTTTTCGTTTTCTAGTCAATCCACTCAAGGAAGGCATCATTGAAGGGTCACAGGGGAGTGGGGAAAGTCTAAAATATTCGTTGTCTAAACATTGTTCAGCTGTTGAACGACGTCTAACAAATTTTAAATTTTTTTTTAATTCTTCAAAAATTTTTGACGCTGGTCTAGTTTATGCGTTCAATGAACTTTTATAAGTCCAATCAAAAGAAAATTGGATTTTTTTGGTTTACAAAGTTGGGGTATGGTTCCAAAACATTTCTTCATGTTCGGGCACTATACCCACTGGGGCTGGGACCATTCCTTACCATATTCCTCGAAATTTCTAAAAAAATCGTTACATTTTTAAAAATTGGCCATAACTTTCCGAAATTTCGAGGGATAGGGTACGGAACGGTCCCAGAGCCAGTGGGCGTAGGTTACGAACATAAAGAAATATTTTGGAACTACACCCCTACTTTGCAATACCAAGAAAAATCCAATTATTTTTTGAATGGACGCATAAACTAAACCAGCACCAACATTTTTTCCTTTACTTTGGATCATAAACAAACAAAGAGTTCAAAAGCTTTAAACATTCGGGTACTCTGTCAGAAAATAAAGCTTTAATATTATTATAGGGTTGTTTCATTAATTGCATTTTCTCCAAAATTGGAAGTTTTGACATTCCCGGCCAAATTTTTTCTGTTGGAGTGCCTAACAGTCCAATTATAAGCCTAATCTAAAAATAATATTTTTAAAATTAAATTTTTGGAGAAAATTTTAAACTTGATCAATTTCGTCTTTTCCAGGCATTAAAGGTTTATGTAGCAGTAATTCACCCATTATACTGAATTTTAATTTAAATTATTTTTTAAAATTAAATACAAATCTCTTTACTACGTCTTTCAATCAAAAATAGAATAAAAATGAGGAAATAAAATATTTTGTCGTTTTTTCTTTTCAATCCTATTCTTAATTGCAAGAGGCAAAGCGACTTTTATGTAACCACGGTATAAGTAGGACTAAATTAGGGGTTGGACTTGGTCCGGTCCGAAAGACCAAATCGGGCATCGAATTTTGGCTCGAAGACTTGATGCCCACCCGATAAAAAGAAAGCCCGGAAAAGACTCGGTCGGGCCGTCATGATAAAAATGAGGCCTGAAAAAAAGACTCGAACGTCGGCCTGACTCGAAAAACTCAGCCCAAGAACTAATGTAAAAGCGGTCAAGATAAGTCCAGAATCCAGAAAAAGGAAAGGTCCCCTCCATAATCTGAACTTTTCTGAAATATATTTGTCGAAAAAAACTCCAAAAAAACTTTAATATTTAAAAATAAACAAAATCAACACAAACCATCCACACGCCCACATATCAATAGCCGGTGACTGGTATTTACTTCCAAATAACAATTCTGGCGATCTATACCACAAAGTAACAACTCTGGGTGTCATTTCTGTAGGGGGATCCCCATAAAGTCTGGCCAATCCAAAATCAGCAATTTTTAGAATTCCCTGTTCTGTCAACAATAAATTGGAAACCTTAAAAAATTTTTGAGAAAAAAATTTTTTTGTTTAAAAATAAACCTTAATATCTCGATGAATGAAGAATCGACTGTGTAAATGTGCTACTCCTTTAAATAATTGAAGCAGAATACATTTTACTTGGGATTCGCTAAAGGGAGTCTGCATGTTGTCGAGAAGAGAAGCTAAATCCTTTTTGGGAAAAATTGGGAAATTTTTTTAATTGTTTTGTATTAATTTTGAGATAAAGTGTCATTTACCGATGCCGCCCCCCCCCAAATGGGAAAAGGAAAGAATTTGGGGAATTAGGCAAAAAAGTGCATTTTTTAGCCCACGGCCTTCTAAAATTCTCAAAATTTTATTTTAGGCGCCTTCAGCGGCAAAAAATTTCTCACCCCTTGGCCACCCACCCGAAAAAATCCTAGCTACGAGCCTTACCTATGCATTCCAGAGTTAAAAAATTGAGTGTAAAACAATCAAATATTTGGCTATTTTACTCTATAAACATTTTTTAGATTATTTTAGGAAATGACCCATTCGTCTCAAAAAATGTTCTGCCCTGGCACACGAACACATCGGGATATTCATTGTACAAACAGTTACCCTACTGATTTCGGGACCTACGGCCACTGGGTCTTGGATAGTATACTGTCCTATTGGAATAGTTTTTATGTTTTAGAACAAACGTAAACACGCAAAAAAATTTTTTTTCATCCCAATCCCGATATGTCCGTCTCAATATGTCCGCACACCTTATCCCTACATTATGGACAGAAATTTAAAAGAAAAATAATTTAAAAAAAACCTGATCACAATATTCCATAACCAAAAATATTTGTTCAATTTTCCTCCCCACAACAACATCAAAAAGTCTGACAATATTTTCGTGTTCAATATCCATTAAAGACTGAATTTCCCTCATTACAGAAATTGAAACCCCTTCCTTTTTTAAATCTAAACGAACTTGTTTAAGAGCTACCTAAAAATTGGAAAAAAAATTTT